TCCCCTGAGCGCTCTGCTCAGCTCCCTCGCGCACCGCAAAGTGAGGCTGGGAGCCGGAAGATGACGTCATATTCCGGCTCCCAGCCTCACTCTGCAGCCGACGGGCGAGGGAGCTGAGCAGAGTGCTCAGGGGAAGAGCTCCCTCGCCAGCCGCCTGCCCAGCGCTGCCCGCCCTGCAGCCACTGGACCACCAGGGAGAGAGACCGCCCCCCCCCAGCACTCCCAAAGGTAAGGAGGTTGGGGGGGGATTTAAATTTAAAAAAAAGTTAATGTGTGTGTGTTTGTGTCTGACTGTGTGTGTGTTTGTGAGTGTGTGTGTATTTGTCTGTGTATGTGTCTCACTGTGTGTGTGTGTGTGTTTGTGTCTGACTGTGTTTTTGTTTGTGTATGTGTCTGACTGTGTGTATGTGACTGTGTGTGTGTGTGTGTGTTTGTGTCTGACTGTGTGTGTCTGACTGTGTGTGTGTTTGTGTCTGACTGTTTGTGTCTGTGTATGTGTCTGACTGTGTCTGTGTTTGTGTATGTGTCTGACTGTGTGTGTATGTGTCTGACTGTGTGTGTTTGTGTCTGACTGTGTGTCTGACTGTGTGTGCGTGTGTTTGTGTCTGACTGTGTGTGTGTGTGTGTATTTAGAAGGTGGGGCGGGGGGAAGGGTTGGGTGGGGGTGGCGCGGGGGGAGGGGGGCGCCTGAGTTTTGTCCTGCCTAGGGCAGCACAAAACCAGGATACACCACTGCTCTGAACAGATAGAAAGTGCATGTATTTATAGACACAGAGGCATTTCCTTGATAGCCATCCCCCCCAAAATGTGTGTGGGCATCAGCAATGATGTGATGATGTCCTGAAGTGGGTGAACCTAATAAAGAGGCAGAGATACCGCGTCTGGCATCAGAAATGTTGACAAAGGTGTCTGTATAACTAAGGCAGGGGCAGCAGGTGAGTGGCATAGTGCAAGGGTATGTATATTTACAGCATTACATGACACCAGTAAGCACACATCAGCTCCTTCCTGTATCTTATAAGCCAAAGATCATGTACTTCCATGCCCACTTACAGAAGTTACAATTTTACAGATACACAGAATCAACAATCAATGTTTAGACATATTAAATTGATTAAAAAGTTGTGATAGTTTCACAGGTAATAAAATAGTAGTTTATTTAGCTATGTCTTCGTCTTCTACTAATTATCCATTGTTTATTTACTGTTATTCTATTTTTTTTTATAGCAATTATTATAGAATAACCCTGATTATTAGTTAACCCCTTAAGGACCGAGGACGGTTCAGGACCGTCATCGGCATTTTTGCCTTGCCGACCGATGACGGTCCTGAACCGTCCAAACGGTCTGGGGGTACCCACCTGATGGCAAAATTCCATTTTGTGGTGTTCCCCTCGGTTGTGGGGAGACTGCCTGCAGCCCAGACAGTCTCCCACGGCAGATTAGGACCCCTGTGGCCATGTGATCGCTTAACACAGCGATCACATGGTCACAATAGGTGTCCATGTGTCTGCCTGCAGGGGGACTGTCTGTGCTGACAGGCAGTCTCCCTCCATGTGTAAAATCAAAAAATAAAAATAAAGTTAGTGTTAATAAAAAAAAAAAAATAATAATTATATATGTGTATATATGATATATAGACATATATTATATTTATATAATATATGTCTATATATCATATATATAATGCCATACTAAGTGTATTTTTATATTAATATGTACTTATATTAATATAAAAATACACTGCGTATAAATTACACACGTATATATATAATATATATAATAACTATATATTGTATATATATTGTATACTCAAAATATAAATAATAAGTAATTTAAATTAAATAAAAAAATTTTAAAATAATAATAAAAAATTTAAAAAATTATATAGCTATATGAAATTTTATTCTAACTGTATTTTAAAATTAATATATATATATTTATATCAAAAATACACTTAGAATGAATTTGTATATATATCTATGTATATATAAATAAATAAAAATAATACGAAATATACATATGTCCATATACAAAATTACATAAATAATTATATAAATATACCCGTAGACTTCAAATATATAAATATGCATATATATTTAAATTCTACGTGCATATTTATGTAATATTTTTACATAATTAAGTAATTTTATTAATTGCAATTTGAGGGACCTGCCTGCCAACCCAAGCCGAAAGTCCAGAGAATTTAATTTACTAGCACTGTATTTTACCCTGTAACGTTCTATGACACCCTAAAACCTGTACATGGAGATACTGTTTTACTTGGGAGACTTCGCTGAACACAAATATTAGTGATTCAAAACAGTAAAACATATCACAGCGATAATATTGTCAGTGAAAGTGACTTTTTTTGCATTTTTCACACACAAACAGCACTTTTACTGATGATATAATTGTTGTGATACGTTTTCCAGTTTTTAAACACTAATATATGTGTTCAGCGATATCTCCCGAGTAAAACAGTACCCGCCATGTACAGGTTTTATAGCATTTTTTGAAAGTTACAAGGTCAAATACATGGGTCAAATATTTTTACATTGAAAATGGCCAGGTTGGTTACGTTGCCTTTGAGAGCGTATGGTAGCCCAGGAATGAGAATTACCCCCATGATGGAATACCATTTGCAAAAGAAGACAACCCAAGGTATTGCAAATGGGGTATGTCCAGTCTTTTTTAGTAACCACTTGGTCACAAACACTGGCCAAAATTAGCGTTCAATTTAGTTTTTTTACTTTTTTCACACACAAACAAATATGAATGCTTACTTTGCCAGTGTTTTCGACTAAGTGGCTACTAAAAAAAGACTGGACATACCCCATATTGAATACCCTGGGTTGTCTACTTTAAAAAAAATATGTACATGTGGGGTGTTATTCAGAGATTTATGACAGATAATAGTGTTACAATGTCACTATTGATACATTTTAAAAATGTATGTTTTGAAACCGCAATATCCTACTTGTACCTATAGCCCTATAACATGCAAAAAAAAGCAAAAAAGCACGTAAACACTAGGTATTTTTAAACTCAGGACAAAATTTTGAATCTATTTAGCAGTTTTTTTCATTCCCTTTTGTAGATGAGTAAAAGATTTTTCAAGTAAAAGTCAAAAAACATGTATTTTTTTCAATTTTTCATCAGATTTTTGTATTTTTTTTAAAATTAAAATACATGAGATTATATAAATAATGGTATGTAAAGAAAGCCCCTTTTGTCCTGAAAAAACAATATATAATTTGTATGGGAACAGTAAATGAGAAAGCGGAAAATTACAGCCAAACACAAACACCACAAAAGTGTAAAAATATTCCTGGTCGCAAATGTACAACATCGCAAAAACAGTCCAGTCCTTAAGGGGTTAATCATCTCTCAATACAATTGCCCTCCTCAATTTCTATTTCCCAGCTCACTGTCTCCTTTCACTGCTCAGATATTTCACACACCACTTTTATTGTCTTATCTTGAAACAGGTATCTTATCCATCAGTCCCTCCTCCCTTCTGACATGATGTTCTTTCGCTTCCTTATAGATGAAAGCCCATATCAACCGAGCTTTCTTCACCTCCTGTCTCTTTTACATTCTGTAAGTCAATTGCTGTTGTCAAATATCCTTATTCTATAATTACATGGCAATGCAGAGGAAGAGGAGGAAGAAGAAGAAGAAGAGGAAGTGAATTTAATATGTTATGCCAAAATAGAAGCGCTGAAAACCTGCCTGAACTAGAGAATTGTTTCGAGTTGGTTTATGTTGGCATAAAAAGTACACGTCACTGTAAATTCAATCTTTGGTGACTGTCCTTCTATGACGTTGTGTCTTTTCAACTCTGTAGAATTCTGTAATCTCAGGGTTACACTTAGAATGGTTAACAAGCTTTCATGGTTTTACATATGGATAGGGATTTGTGGATTTTTTTCTCCCAAAGGAATGGTTGTATTTGAAATGGAAATGCTTACTTCTCCCAGAATATCTGCTTAACTTTATATATGAATGTGTGACTGTTCTCCTGTGATGAATGTTAAAATGATTTTCTTCTTCTGGAAGTAACAACATTTTATTGTACATAAAAATCATTGGAGAACAGTCAAAAGGTATGAGTCAAAAAGTACTTATTTTTGCATCTTTTATTTTTTGGCAGGAATTTTTTAAATAATTTAATGTTTAATTACAGCTAATCAAGATGATAAAAAATACAATAAGAATATTACACACTGCTGAAAAATCTAATCATTTATCTAAAATCAATTTAAAAGCTTTTTTTTTTTTTTTACATAAAACCATATAAGTCATTATGTATGGGTCTACATGTAATTTTAAACACATAACCATTTTAGTAATTTCACTAAATAATAAATTTAGTCAAGCCTGTCTAAATACCACATATATAATGCCTAATAGTTAGACATGTTCACATAGGCGTGCGCACAGGGTGTGCCGGGTGTGCCTGGGCACACCCTAATCCCGTGGCACACCTATGGTTTGAGTCCTGCAGGAACAGCGTTCCTGCACTTTTTTTGAGCAGGAACGCTGTTCCTGCAGGCACTCAGCGCCCCCTGTCTCACCTCTTGCCCCTGTCATTGGGGGGAGGGCAAGAGGTGATGGATCCCCCCCCCTCTCCAGCTCAGCCGTGGCGAGGGAGCTCTCTGCTGTCTGCTCTCTGCTCCCTCTCGCCGCTCGCTGATGCCGGGAGCCGGAATATGACGTCATATTCCGGCTCCCAGCTACAGCAGACAGCCCGCGCGGCGAGAGGGAGCAGAGAGCAGACAGCAGAGAGCTCCCTCGCCGCGGCTCAGCTGGAGAGAGGCGCCCGCCCCACTGGACCCCAGGGAAAAGTCCACGCCAGCACTCCAGGTAGGAGGCTGGGTGGACATTTTTTTAAATTAAAATGTAATAATTTGTTTTTGTGTGTGAGTGTCTGTGTGTGTGAGTGTGTCAGTGTGTGTGTCTGTGTGAGTGTGTGTCTGTGAGTGAGTATGTGTGTGTCAGTGAGTGTATGTGTGTGTGTACGTATATATATATATATATATATATATATATATATACACACACATATATACACACACACACACACACACAGAGCCGGCGCTATCTGAGTGTCGGCTCTGCTCTAAGCCTCCATGGGCCAGCGGGGAGACCAAAGATCTACCTCACCGGCCCACAGCAGCATGGAGGGAGGCAGGAGAGGACCCAGGGAGCTCTAGACAGAAGCTCCACCAGGTTCCTCTCGCAATATTGTTGCTGCGGCAACGCTCAGATCTCGCGAGAGTTAACTCCAGCCCCGCAGGCTAGAGTTCACTCTCCACTGGACCACCAGGGATGGCACATGGCAGCAAGGATTTACTAATCTGCCAAATCCCTCCAAACATACAGCACACACACATACAGCACCTACACACATACAGCTTACACACACACAGTACACTAACCGCACCCTCACAAACACACACAGCACCTTTAAAAAAAAACACAACACCCTCACACACAGCACACTAACAGCACCCTCACAAACACACACACACACAAACAGCACCCTCACAAATACACAACTCTCACACAAACAGCACCCTCACAGGACAAACATAAACACACAAACAGCACAGTCACAAACACCCTCACATCACACTAACAGCACCCTCACACACACATCACACTAACAGCACACACAGCAGTGTGTGTGTGTGTGTGTGTATCTCTCTCTCTCTCTCTCTCTATATATATATATATATATATATATATATATAGATACACACACACACACACACACACACACACGGCGTGTGTTTGTGCTTTAGGGTGCACACCCTAATGCAATAGGCTGCGCACGCCTATGCATGTTCGTCCTACACATACTCGCTGTTGAATACTCATCTCTGTAATAGCTACTCCTTATGTCCAGTTAGTCTATATAGTTATGCACCTTTTATGAAGTTTAGCAATCTGGATGCACACACCTATCCTGTAAAAATCCTGTTTATATAAAAAAAATGTGTATGCTTAATGTGGCCATGTAAACAATATATATGTTATCTTGTTCACTTGTAACTGCTATCGTGGCCTTGCAAGGCTTTCTGTATACTATACATGCAAAAATAAATAATTAAAAAACAGAAAAATAACATTTATTTGGCATTAGTAATAAGATATGCGGTTTTAAAATGATTAAAGGACCACTATAGTGCCAAGAAAACATACTCGTTTTCCTGGCACTATAGTGCCCTGAGGGTGCCCCCACCCTCAGGGACCCCCTCCCGCCCGGCTCTGGAAGGGGGAAAGGGTTAAAAACTTACCTTTTTCCAGCGCTGGGTGGGGAGCTCTCCTCCTTCTCTCCTCCTCCGTTCCTCCTCCTGGGCTGAATGCGCACGCGCGGCAAGAGCTGCGCGCGCATTCAGCCCGTCGCATAGGAAAGCATTTACAATGCTTTCCTATGGACGCTGGCGTGCTCTCACTGTGAAAATCACAGTGAGAAGTACGCAAGCGCCTCTAGCGGCTGTCAATGAGACAGCCACTAGAGGATTAGGGGGAAGGCTTAACCCATTCATAAACATAGCAGTTTCTCTGAACTGCTATGTTTATTAAAAAATGGGTTAACCCTAGCTGGACCTGGCACCCAGACCACTTCATTAAGCTGAAGTGGTCTGGGTGCCTAGAGTGGTCCTTTAACAATAAAGCAGCCAGTCGAAAAGTTAATTTGTTTCCGTGTTTATTGCTGCTCATAACTTAAGAAATTCGAGATAACAATTAAAGGAACACTCCACGGTATGCATTACAAAAAAATAAATAAAAAATAAAAAGTATTTGGCAGGAAAATTCCTGCAGGTCCTATTCAAACCTTAAAGTTAAGGCTTCTAATTCTAGCATAGTCAAGTCAGCCTCTAATCATTCAGATGTATATTAAATCAATACTACTGAAACGACAAAATATTCAATACCAGCGTTTTAAGTTCAGATAGAGAGGCTGATAGTAGTACAGTCACCAAGCACAATTAGATGAAGGTACAAGATTTACACACCATTTGTAAAATTCCATTTGTAAAATAGTTGTTAAAACTAAGTAAGTTTTTAATATGAGAGAGGCAGGTGATCTGCTTTCTGGAATAATGTCTTGGGGTAAGTGTTCACAATTCTTCATGTGCTGCATTAACTCTTACACTGATATGTGCTATTACAGGATGTCCTCAGTTATCCATTACTTACTTGACACCGAGATCATAAGTGAAAAATGCTCTAACCATGTTGTATGGTTAGCATTCATTATTCCAATGTAATTAGATGCCTTGGTAATATTCCAAATTATTTACGATGACTACTTTTCTATTATCATTTAATTCCTCCTGTCACAAAGGTGCCCAATTAACAGCATCACATTGTCTTCTTTACATAGAATTAATATTGGTCCAATGTATACAATACTGTTAGGATGACATATGTCACTCTAATATAATTAGGGTAGAACGTTATATAAATGGGCTATGTTGCTGTAGTGACAGGCTATGCATGGTATGTGCATTAAACTGAATCCTAATCGTTTTCCAATCTAATCATTGTTATGAAGCCCTTTTATAAACCCCTTTAGTTAGGATAGCCTTATGCCTATCCCACGCATGCTTAAACTCCTTTACTGTGTTAACATATACCACTTCAGCTGGAAGGCTAATCCATGCATCCACTACCTTCTCAGTAAAGTAATACTTCCTGATATTATTTTTAAACCTTTGCCCCTCTAATTTAAGACCTCTGTCCTCTTGTTGTGGTGGTTTTTCTTCTTTTAAATATAGTCTCCTCCTTTACTGTGTTTATTCCCTTTTCTATACAGTGTTTCAAGTAAAAGTAACTTAGACTTTGACCAGAAATACTCAGGGATTATGTGAACGTGTGTGCCCTATATCAGTGTTACTCCACCTTTTCTCATCCAAGGCAAACCAAATCTCTTCCCTGAATTCCGCGGCTCACCACAAGCATGGCCGCCATCAGGGCATGACAAACATGCCAGTTGTCATGGGCCCGGCGGTCCTTGGGTCCAGTACTGCTCTGAGGGTCCTGGGCCCTAGAATCCCTAAATGCACATATATATAGCAATTATTCCTATAATATGTGCACTGTGGGCACCCTGCTACCTGCACACTCGGGCTTTCCTTTACAGCTCCTCCATAACTCTGTAGCATTACCATGGCAATGCTCCGCACAGCACGCAGGCCGGTCTTGAGAGAGTTAGACAGAGTGGACCTGAAAAGGAAAGACTGAGTGTGCAGCAGGCCCCGATCTGCAGTTTGCAACGGCCAGCTCCCTCCACCATGTTACCAGGGAATGTGATTTCCCCCCTCCCAGGCTAGGTAAGAAGCAGGAATGGGGGAATAAAATATACACAAATAAATATAAACAAATGCTTTCCCCCTATTTTACATACACACACACACACACACACACACACCACTCACTAAAACACACTACATTCACTATACACACTCTGCACTCACTACAAACACACTACATTCACCATACACACTCTACACTCACTACAAACACACTACATTCACTATACACACTCTTCACTCACTGCAGACACACTATATTCACTATACACACTTTGCACTTCCTACAAATACACTATATTTACTATACACACTCTGCACTCACTACACACACTGCCTTCAGTATACATTCACTACATTCACTATACATTAACTACATTCATCATACACACTCTGCACTCACTACACACACAAGATTCACGATACACACTCTGCAGTCACTATACACTCCCTACATTCACTATTCACACTCTGCACTTACTACACACACACTACATTTACGATACACAGTCTGCAGTCACTATACATTCACTACATCCACTAGACAAAAACACACTCTGCATTCACTATACACGCCTACTTCCACTACACAAACAAACACTCTTCATCGAATACATACAAACATTAGATGCATTACACAAAACATACAATCTGCATCCACTTTACACACTACATCCATGACACACATACAGCATATACTACACACATTCCACATCCCCTATTCACACACAATTCATGATACATTCTGCAGTATGGGGAGCCCAGACTTTGAGCGGAGTCAGGGGACCCAAAATTTCTCATGGCAGCCCTGACCACAAGCAAAAGTATATAAAGAAAAAAAGTAGTAATAGTTCATATACAAGACAGTGTCCCACAGAACGTGCCACAGTCAGTTTGCCCATTAAAAATTTACCACAGGCCATTATTAAATAACACAGTAAGTTAGCAAATTAACAAAAATCACAGTGAGTTTGCTCATTAATAAATACAACAGTAAGTTTTCCAATTAATAAATACCACAGTAAGTGTGTGTAGTGTGTGAGAGAGTTTGTAGGGTAGGATAGAGGATGAGTCTTGCGGGGCTTTTAATTATATTTATTTTTAAAATATTATTGTATTCTTTTTTTTAAGTTTATTGCCCTCTCCCTGTGTCTTACCTGTGGCCAGGTGACAGTATATTTCCCGGTGGTCTGGTGGGGCTGTAGAGGTTCTCAACCTTCCTCTCAGGCTCTGCGGATATGCCAAGCCAAGGCTCTTCTCACAAGCCCCAGAACCACGTGGAATTGAGTGTTGCCATGGTAACTGCAGAAATGCTATGAAAGCCAGGACTTGGGCCATCCACAGACATGAATGGTGAAAGCCTCTTGTCCCCTCTTCATGCTGCGCAACTGGTGAAAGAACCTGGAGATGGAGATGTTTGATCTCCCTTACCAGGTCTGTCTGTATGTAAGGGGCTCGGGCCACTGTGGATATAGGGACATCTGCTGGCCCTTACAAGTGTAGGGTTGTACCCCCCTGATGGCATCCCTGGGCAGCATACCTAGCACAGTGCTGCGGCACACTGCCTTACATGGCCAGGAAAAGCCAATGTACACACAGGGTTATGGGTTTATGAGTAACGTCCTAATTTCTGTTGTCTGTTTGGGAACTACCTCCCTCTTTCATTATATTTGACTGTGAAGGACAGTGGGTGTCAATGATTCTTTATGACACACATCAGAATGGCCTGGGGGATCATTGATACAGATCTCCCAAAGTCCGCAGCA